TAAATACCCCAACCCATTACAGCCAACAAAAACAAACTTGTTTCTCAAGTCCAACCCATTACAGCCAACAAAAGCCAACTTCTTTCTCAAGGTCTTGATCTGCAAAATAGTTATTAGTGCCACAATCTCCAAAACAACTATTAGTCCCACAATAGTATATGAAAAAGCAATAGACATATGACACGATTATCTTGAAACATGAGATGGAAAACATGAATAGATGAAAACTAAGACTCATGAACAACAACTCTCAAACAGCAAAAGCAAGATCATAAACCCCACAAGCGCTGCCCCCTGGACCCTCGCGAGCTGACCGGGCAGCTCGATCCCCGTCATAATCAGCGAAGTGGCAATCTTGAAAGCTTTATCATCACAAACTTCTCTGAAATGCTTGATTCGGGTTGGATTCGCATCTAACAACTTATAGCCTCACTGAAATAAAAATGCGAATAAAATTACAACTCAAAGGAGTTTTGTCAAACGGGATTGCCAAGAAATAAAACCTAACAGTTATATTTTTTACTATATTGTGATTACCATGAGTCTACCACATCAAACAATAAAACAACTTATAAAGGGTAGCATTAATCTAGACAATTAAAGAACAATATAGCTTCTTCTTCTTCTTCTTCTTCTCCTCTCTCTCTCTCTCTCTCTCTCTCTACTTTTATTTTTAAGAAACATCATTCATACATACTACTAAAGAAATAAAGATAAATAAGCCTTTCATTATGTTCTGGTCCATGATGTTTTACATATTTTTTTTAACAATAGGTAGAAGGGTTATAGGACAATGCAAGTTGCACTCAAAACAGTAAGACCAATGTAATCATATTACTTTTCTAGAGAAGGATATATGAGACCAATGAGCCAAACTAATGAAAACAAAATATAATCAAAGCAAAAATTCATCTTAACATGAGATATATAGTTGAGGTCTATCGATCAACCAAGGTTTTGTTAATGTGATTAATATTTAATAAAATTAAAATGGTTGAATGTCCTTTATAAAATTAGTAAGTATAAAAAATAAACAATCATTTTAATAATACTATGATGACTATATTTTTGTACTATGTTTTGCTTGACATCTCATGTGCTATTACTGCATTGGTAATAAACACAAGTGGTGAGATCCATTAAACTAATACAATGTTGACAAATGAAATGGTAAACCAATTGTGCTAAGAAACTACGATTTCTTAACATTACTAATATTTTAAATTTCATTAATAAATATATGCACTTGTGAACCTGTCGTTAGCTGCCGCTTGAATTCCGGCACTTCAGTAATGTTTAGAAAGACATTCCTCATCTCTTCATCAGTTGCTACAACCTTCACCACATTCTACATGCAAAATGGGCTGAATAGATTTAGAGGACATAAATTGATGATAAGAATGCTCACGACAATAACAGCTTAAAACATTAAGCTCATTGTCACGTGATTCAAATGATTAGCCAATAATGTTTTTGTGTGTGATTTATTAGGAGTCTTTTATTCTTTCTATTCAAACCCAAATCATACTTTTTTTTTCAAGAGAAAGATAGGCAAGTTGGTCCTATAAATTATTTTAAATATCGAATGATACATACCAATACCGGCTGATAGGAATTGTTTTTATGGCCTCTAATACTGATACACTCCAGTGTAGTAGAGGAAATAAAAATCACATGTATATCGACTGGTTAGTGATATGTATCACTTCATAGCTAATTTGTGACCCAATTCAGAGATGACAAGTCAGGTCGGTTCACTGCTATGCAGTTCTTTTTATAGCAGATGATTTTAAAATTTTTACAGCCGTGTCATCTAATACCTTTGTTATGAAATTTAAAGCCTTAGTTGTGAGTTCACATCATTAATTGCTACTCATCATTGAAAGCATAATGCCTTTTAGGACATGATTCAAGAGTTAATGCAATCCCAAGTGGGAAATGGATCGTGTTCAAGTGCAAGAGAAGAACAGTTGTTTCAAAACACTGATTATAAGGAGAATAAGGCACCTGAATGGGTTCGGCTCCGTCCAATCCAAAAGCTTTTTGAATAGTCATTCCTTTAACAGATTGCAGCTTTCCTAGACTGAAGAATGAGAAACAAAGAACTACTGAACAATAATTTTTTATTTTTTTTATCAGCAAAAAATAGCACTTTTTTCCTAGACCACCAAAAAAACATTACATAACTAAGGCAATCAAACATAAAGCAAAGGGGGAGTGCAAAAAGCATCAAAGCTAAACATTTTCATCCCAACTACGTTGGCATAGGAAAGAAAGCCCTATCATATGCAAGCACCATCCAAGAACAAAAAAAATGGTTGGAGAGGATCCAACCAAAAACAACAAAAGAGAAACCACCAAAAGCAAAACAAGAGTCACAATAGCAACAACAAAAACACCCACAGCAACCAGCAAAGTGACCAAACAGACAATGCATCACAAAGAAGATAACAACTCTAAATCATGACGCACTATAGTGCAACTACAAGAAAGCCAGATCGTGTACTGATATTCTATTCTCTCCATAACTCTTCTACTTCACTCTTTAGTATATTGTAATACTTTGTTTTTCTCCCTTCGCTATATTGTAACACTTCGTATTAAAAAGGGGCAATAATGCTACGCTGATCATATTTATACACTACAAATAGAGAAATGTTATGAGAAACAAAGAGAATCAGAAAAATCAGGGAAATGAATTGTGCCTTTTGATGAAATGGTGGGGGAGATTTGGTACAGAAAGGAATGCTCTTTGGAGGAGAATTATCTGCAGCAAATCAGTCACGGTGAATTCAAACTGCCCCCCTCTCTTTTTAGTACATCTTTGTACAATTCATCCAGGATGTGGAAAGATATCCTTGTAAGCCTTTTGTATTCTGTGTATTCAAATTGTGTGTTTGATTACAACAAGACCCTAGATTATATAGCCCTAACTCCTAAACCAAAAAAAGAAAAACACAATCACACCTATATTAAGTACAATCACAATCATGCCAAATATAGAATATACACAATATATTCTCACAACCCCTCTCAAACTCAAGGTGTTTTAGTAGAAAACATTAAGAGTTTGCTAAGAAGAAATTGAAACCGAGTGGTAGTATGAGTCTTGGTGAAGAAGTCTGCAAGTTTCAACGATGAAAAGACGAAAGGAAGCGAGATAGAGCCAGACTGCAGATGCTGTCGGGCAAAGTGACAATCAATCTCAAAATGTTTCGTTCGCTCATGGAAGACGATATTGTGGACAATCTGAGTAGCACTGCGGTTGTCACAATAGAGAGAGGTCGGAAAAGACCAAATCAGACAGAAGACAATGAAGCCAAACAATCTCAATAGTGGCATGAGCCATAGCACGATACTTAGCTTCGGCAGTAGAATGAGCAACAACAGATTGTTTCTTACTTTTCCAAGAGATCAAGGAATCACCAAGAAACATACTGAAACTAGATGTAGACTTGTGAACATTAACACCACCAGCCCGATCAGAATCAACATAGGCCACTAAGTCCAAAGAGGACGTAGAGAACAATAGTAAGCCTTGAAAGATGGTACCCCTGAAATAGCGAAGAATGCGAACCAAAGCAGCCTAATGAGTATAGTGAGGAGCAAAAACGAACTGACTAACCACATGAACAGCATAAACAAGATTAGACGAGTGATAGTCAGATAAACTAAACGATATAAAGTGGGATCATCCAGAGGGACACCATTAGTAGAGTTGAGCTTCACATTAAGCTTAATAAATGTATCAAAAACCTTAGTATTAGTAAGACCAGCATAATGAATGACCTCATTAGCATACTTAGCTTCAAACAAAAAATAGTCCTTTAGAAAAGAAGCAATCTCAATACCAAGAAAATATCGCAATGGACCTAGATCCTTTATTTTGAAGATGCGAAAGAGATGCTGCTTGACCACAGAGATAACAGAAGAATTAGAGCCAGTGATGATCATATCATCCACATATAGTAAGAGAGTAACAAAACCAGTTGTGGTGTGTCTCAGAAACAAAGAAAAGTCGAAAGCAGAAGGATGAAACCCAAACTCAGTAACAGCAATCTGAAAGCGATTATACCAAGCACGAGGAGATTGCTTCAGACTATACAGAGTACGCCAAAGACCACAAATCCGTCCGGAGGAATGGTGAAGGCCAGGGGGAGGATGCATGTAAGCCTCCTCAACGAGATGACCATTAAGAAAAGCATTCTTAACATCCATCTAATAAAGAGGCCAATGACGAATAGCAGCAACAAATATGAAAGTATGGACAGTAGCCATCTTGGCAACAGGACAAAGGTCTCCTTATAATCAATGCCATACTTTTGTGAAAAATCCTTGGCAACCAGGTGAGCTTTGTAGCGTTCAAGAGAACCATCAAAATGAGTCTTGATTTTATAGACTCATTTATAACCAACCAGATTCTTACCAGCAGGCAAAGAAACCAACTCCCAAGTACTAGTTTTTTGCAAAGCAGACAACTCATCCTCCATAGTTTGAACCCAATTGGGATCTTGACAGGCCTCCTTGTAAGATTGACGTTTTGAAGACGAATGAATAGCAGACAAAAAAAGTATGATAGGAAGCAGAAAAACATGTATTAGACCAACCCGACCTAACCTATTTTGGAGGATGACACTCTCGAGTAGGATATCGGTGTACAGCAGGATAAGAGTCTTCTGAAGCAGAAGAGGCAACAACCGGGGTAGAGACAACTAGTTGATGGGGAGCCTTGCGACAAGAATAGACTAACAACGGAGAAAGAGAAGGAGTTGAAGTAGCCGGAGATGAAATAGGAATAGCCTCAGGGGGGTCAATGGAGAGGTACTCAATAGAAGGGGTAGAAGGTGGAGAAGATGGAACAAGCTCAAGAGAAACAGTGGAGATGTACTCATCAGCAGGGATCTCAGAAGGAAATGGGTCCATGTGAACCAAATCTTCTTTTGAAACTGAAAGTAAGATAACGTTAGAGAAAGGCAACATGATGAGAGACATAAAGGCGATGAGAGACAAGGTCGTAATAATGGTAGCCTTTCTAAGTAAGACTGCAACTCAAAAAGACACACAGGACAGACTGGGCACTTAGTTTGTCCTATCTTTATGGGAAAGAAAGACAAAACAAGTAGACTCAAAAACACGTAGAAGGGAATAATTAGGAAGTTAGAAATACAGAGCCTCACAAGGAGATCCTCCAGAGAGGAAGGGAGTTGGCATGTGGTTGAGTAGAAAAACAACAGTAAGAACTGCCTCACCCTAGAATGGTGCCAGAACAGAGGCAGAGAGAAGGAGAGATCTAGCTGTCTCGATGATATGACGGTGTATCAGTATAGGAAGTTTGATGAAGGGTACCCAAATTGGCCAAATACTCATAGAATTCGGTTTTAAAGTATTCCACACCCAAGTCAGACCGGAGCATTTTAATTGTAGCCCCAAATTATGTAGTGATCAGAGACTGAAAGGTACAGTAGATCGGGTAAAAATCAGATTTATGAGCCATAAGATAAACCCAGGTATAGTGTATACAATCATCAACAAATGACACAGTATGCAGAACCCCCTTTAGTGAGAACATAAGAAGATCCCCAGACATCAGTATGGACACGAGAAAAAGAAGAAATAAAAATAGAGGAACTTTTATTAAAAGGTAAGTATGCCATTTTAGCAAGTTTACAACCTCGACATTCATTGATTTGACTAGAAGAAACTTTATCCAACAATCCTGACTGAGCTAAATACCGCAAGGGTTAACAAACAAATGACCGTGGTGAGAATGCCACAAATAAAACTGACTTGACTGAGAATCTAACTGAAAAGATAAAAGTGCAATGGGAGAGGGAGATAGAGGAAGATGTAGGCTTTCCACCACATAGAGATCTCCAACTTTACGACCAATCCCAATATGCTTCTTGGACACCCGATTCTGCACACAACACATAGAAGAAGAAAAGATAACATCAAAACTAGAAGTATCAAGCTGACTGATAGAAAGCAAGCTGACAGACAGTTGAAGAACATAAAGAACAAAGCGAATAACAATAGCAGACATGGCAGAGGGTAAAACAGACCCAATAGATAAGACAGACATACCAGACCCATTAGCAATATTAATAGCAATAGAAAAATGAGGGGGGATACAGTTTTGGAGTAAGGAAAAATGAGAAGTCATATGATGAGAAGCACCATAATCAAAAAGCCAGACAGAAGAAGGAATACCTGAAGAGGACCTAAGCAAACTTGAATGCAGAGAGGTGAGAGCAGAGGCAGATGAAGATGATTGAGAGGTGGACAAGATCTGTTGAAGTTGAGCAAACTGAGTACTCAAGGAAGCCAAATTAGGACCTGAAGCCGGAGTGGATGCAGTATAAACAGTGGGAGGCTGGAAAGAACTCTGAGTAGGAGCTCGGGACTAAGATTGCTAAGAAGATGAACGTCCTTTCTTGGGACAGTTGTACTTCTAATGACCCTTCTGATGGCAGAAAGACACTCATCTGATGTTAAGGGCCCATTTTTTTTGGCTTGGCAGTGCCCTGAATCGGTGGGGTCAATAATAGTGGAGGTTGAGCAGGAGATAGGAAGACAGATGGAGATGAAGTCTGACTGGCGGTTTTGAGACGGGTCTCCTCGTAGAGAAGCTCACGAACAACGGCATCCATAGAGGGAATAGGAGACTGGTGAAAAATGTCACCACGGATAGCCTCATACAGAGGGGAGAGAGCTGTAAATAACTGCACTAAATGACTCTGCTCTCAAAACTCAATATAAGCATCTAGAACCTTGAGGCTGGATGGTTTCATAGGAGCCAATTGATCCTAGAGACCTATCATTTCAATATAGAATACTGAATAGACAGATCCCGCTAACGAGCTCCTTGAATAGTTGTTTCCAACTCATACCGTTTGGCAAAGTTGGACTACTAATAAACACTCTATAAGTAATCCCACACCTCTTTGGCAGTGCTGTATTTAGAAAACATCATCCCGATACGGTAGTCCAAAAACTTATGGAACTAGGTCAAAACTTGGGCATTATCACAGTCCCAAGTGTCCCAGGAAATCAGATATCCTTCTTGTTTTGGATTCGATGGACAAGGAACAGAACCAGAAACAAATCTCTATTTTTTTCGACCAAGAAGAAAAATTCTCATAATACTAGACCAATAAGCATAGTTGTCAACTGTAAGTTTGCATTTAATAGCTTGAATTTTATCTTCTGACATTGTAATGAACCAGAAATAAAAGAGAAGGGAACTGATGGGGCAAAGTGAGAAAACCCAATAAATCTAGGGGGTCAAAATGTAATAACCCAAAGTTGGAACAGAGGGGTCAAATACTGGTGGATTGAAATCAGAGAATAGAGAGCAGAGACCAGAGACCAGAGGGAAAACCAAAGAAGAGAAGCTTCGATCGACACAGCCAGAGAAAGAGAACCAAAAATCGAGCCAAAGCAGAGGTCACGAAAGAGAGAGAGAGAGAGAGATCCCTCAAACCCAGACCAAAGTCGCAACTTCAGACCAAGCACCAAAAGTCTGTCGCGACTTCGGAGAAGACCAAAGAAGTCTATTGCAACTTCAAAGAAGAATAGAGAGGGTTGTCATGACTTCGGAGAAGACTGTCACCACTTTAGAGAAGCCTAGAGAGACCTTCGTGGCTTCGAAGAGGACCAGAGAAGACTTCAAACAAAAAGGGTAAATGAAGAGAAAGAACTTTGAATAATCAAGGCCAGACCTAGGGTTTCGGATGTGGCTCTATTACCATGTAAGTTTTCTGTATTCTATGTATTCAAATTATGTATTTGATTACAACAAGACCCAAGATTATATAACTCTTAACTCCTAAACCAAAAAAAGAAAAACACAAACACACCTCAATCAGACCTATACACAATCACGCCTATAATATGTACAATCACAATCATGCCAAATATAGAATATACACAATATATTCTCACAACCCCCTACCTTGTTTAATTTCTTTGTGTCAAATATTGAGTTTTCTTTGGATGATGGTAGCGTGATGTCTTTTTGGAATGATAAATGCTAGTAAGAGATATCACATGGATTTTCATGCTACACAACCCTCTTTATTTGGACTTGGGATAAAAATGAAGCACTGAGCACAACACATGCGGATTAATAAGTAGAAAAAGAACATTGATGAATATTCTTTTGCCTTTCATAGATAAATTGTAAACATAAAGCTACACAAACAAATAAATAAAACCTGCATAAGAATACTTATTAACCCAATATTTTTCTACTAACTTACCTTGTAAACCTTGAGATGGCTGATTCGACTTCATCTCCAGATGAAATAGAAAGTGGTATGTGGGAATTGGCCAGAATTTGAAAGTTAACCTCAGAAGGAGTTGATGCTTCCATGGCTGTTTTGAAGATACAAAGCCAAATGTAATTAAGTTCACCATGAAATATATTATAGAAAGATCCTAACATATATATAACAACTACAAATTCTATAAGTTTGGCTGGACATGCATTTGCCCTAGTAAAGGTATGCAAAGTTGGCGCTATGGTCTCCTAAAATTTGATTAAAAAATAAAGTATCAAATTAGTTTAAAAAATCAAAATATTTTATTAAAAAATTCATAATAGAATAGTAAATTGATCATATATACTAAGAAATTGATAAGCCTGGCTTGATTGGCATTTGGATTTGGATCGTCCAGCATTCATCATGCATATTAAGCCATTTGTATTAATTCCATCCAAGTGCGTTTAAGATGGTTGGATGGCTAAGTGAATTCCTAGCAAGTAACGGCTTTGTACCTTTCAGGAAACTTCCGTGATAAAAGGTCTGTTGCTAGAGAAGTTATTTGGTGGTCCTTGACATTGAGGAGTTTCTACACACCATCCTCTTCCGTACTTCACACCATTTTTTTTTAATTACGATTGTGGCCCACAAACAAATTACCATCAAGGGCAAAAGATACACACCTTCCCTCCTAACCGCACCATCGCTAGCTACCAACCCTTGCCACTACAAAACCCTAGCCATTGCTATTGCCATCGCCACATAATCGTAATTCGACTAGCTGCTGACCACCGTAACTCCCCTCAGTAGCCTCTAGTAAAGGAAAAGAAGGAGGTGCGGGCAATGAAAAGAGGGCAACAAGGGAGGAGGTGGGGGTTAGGCAGTGGGCAACAGGGACAGGAGGGGCTGCGCAAGCATGGGGCTACACTGATGAGGGTGGCAGCGGAGAAAGGGTTAGGTTCAGTTGAAGACCTCGACCCTCTTGTAGCGGAACCATAGCCTAAGCACAGCTACCCATGGGCAAAGACCTTAACCCCACTGCCACCGCTACCTCTGCTGAATTTTTGGCCCCCTTGTATTTTGCACTTGCTCCTCCCAGCAAGCACCCTCATCCTCCACCGCCATACTAGGAAGACTTCCAGCATTCCAATCATGACTAGCCTCCGCATTCCAACCAGTAGGATCCTCCGTCTGACCCTCTGTAATTGTCGACGCTTCTCCCATCACTGAACGACGTCGATCGTTTCCCCTCCCTTGAGCCCCCTTTGTCGCACCACAATCATGTCCTAAGGCACCCGATAGCAACCCAAATACTCGACGAATAGATGGATTTAGTACCCGAGATCCTTACACTTCAAACCCCCATCACCTATCAAACCACGATGTGGATTGAAACCAACCCAGCCCTGTGGACCCTGTTTGCCCATTCTATGACTTGTGCGCCTTATCCCAAATAGCCTCACTCCGAAATGCCCAACACCTGTAGGTCGAAGCTGACCTAGACTAGCATCAAAGCCTCTTTGGCCCAAAACTGCATTTCTTAAAAAAACATTATTAAAATGGCCCAAATCCAAACCCCTCATTCCAGGCCCATGCGTTTTTCCTGGGCCTATTATCTTCGACCCAACACCTTTGCCTAACTGCCCAAGAGAAGAACTCCGAAAATCTCTCCTCCGATCTTGGGCCAGATTTCTAGCGCGAACATCACGCCCCCGATCTTGCTCCAGTCGCCTTGTTGCCAGTGACCAACATTTACCTGACCACCTAGCAGCCACCAAGATTGCCGCTGGTCCATCTATCTGCATCCTGGATCGAAACCTTCCAGTACCAGCGCAAGGCCTTCCTATCCATCATCTGCCAGTGGTACGAAAATCTGATGACAATGAACCCCTGATAACATGACCACTTGCACCACACACTTATTCTGCTCAGACCTCAGCCACACCGCTACACTTCGGCTTCAACCCAACACTCGACCCAAGACCAAACCAGGATCCTTAGCCGCATTCGCCTATCGCAATCGCGCGACCAACCATCTATTCGTTGCCCCATACAAAGCAATCTCGCTGTGCCTACCTTGTTCTTGTTTCACCACCAACAACCGACGACGACCACTAGAATCCGCTCCAATGTCCTCTATCTTGTACGCCTGAGGCCCTAGAAACAGAAGCCTCTATCGAGGACCGCGCTCCAGCACCAGTAACGAATTTGCTAAACGCCTTCTCTCTCATTTGAAATTTTGATCCTGACACGTAAATCTTGGAAACCCTGAAGCAAGCTTTGGTGATTATATACATAATATATACACAAAAATGTATATACAATTATATATGGTAGGTGAAATGAGGATGAGAATGGGAGAGGGGATCACGACGAAGGAGTTAGGGAAATGAGGGAGAGGAGATGGAAGGAGAGGTCAGAAATGGGAGAGTAGGTCAGGGCTAGGGCTAGGGTTGGCTGTTTGCGTTAGGATTTGTAGGGTATGGAGAAGAAGATGACAGCAGCAAAAATTTCATTCGGCGAACACGAGCAAAAATGTACGAGGCCAAACCACAAAGGGGTAAATTGGATTTTTCGTAAATTTGTTATCACCGTATATATATTGGAATGTATCACTATTGAAAATCAAAAAATCAATATGTATCAATTGGAATACTGGAATGTATTAATATCGAGAAACAAAAAAAATTAATATGTATCAACTGACATAATACATATCGTTCAATATTAGAAGGGCGGGCCAGGCGTAGCGGTAAAGCTTCCCCTTGGTGATCGGGTGGTCATGAGTTCGAATCGCAGAAATAACCTCTCCACTTGCAGGGATAAGGCTGCGTACACCAACCCTTCCCCAGACCCCGTTTAAGCAGGAGCTTTGTGCACTGAGTACGCCCCTTTAAGAAATACAAGTTTAGTTAGAACGACTTGATGACTATTGCTGACTACAGAAGTGGTTGTGCGTCTGTGGGTTATGTAAAACTCGAAATTTAATTATTATTTAATTAAGTGAATTAAAATTTTATTTTTATTGTTATTAAGAAAAATATATATATATAGTTGTATTTTATTTTAATTATTGGAGTGTATTTTAATTAAGTTTAAATTTTAAATAAATTTATGATGCAGGTCTACAATGAAAATACGATGTTTTAATAAAATATATTATAAAAAAGTGTACTAAATATAATTGATCAAATATAATGTTATTTTAATTAGAATCATAAGACAAGGTATTATAAAACAAAATAAAATAGGAAAATGCTGGAGGCCCTAAAATTTCTACTAAATGTTTTTCCAAATGTCTTACATAAATGTGGACCCCACACTTATGTGGGACCCACCCTATGTGAGACATTTGGTAAAATATTTGGTAGAAATTTTGGTATCTGTAACATTACTTAATAAAATAATTATGGACTGGTTTTTTGAGAATTTGTTATATAGATGATAAAACCCTAGTTGTAAGTATATTTTCTTTTCTTATTATTTATTTTCCTCTCCAAGTAGTCGTGAGCCATGAGAGGGAGAGAGAGAGAGAGAGAGAGAAACAGAGAATTGAGAAGAATCGTTGAAGAAATCTAAGGGAAAGGAACTCTCATAGATAGGAAAATATTCTATGTATATTACTTTATGTATGTTGGTATGTCCCAGCCGTGGATTGACTTTGGGAGTTGGAGATGGTGCCAAGGAGAGGGCTTAATATTCATCTTATATTTAATATTCACTGTCGATGTTATTTTGTAGTAGAGATAAGGAATTAAGTAATGTTTATGTTAGGTGGATGATGGCGCAATATGTTTCCCAATTGGGAATTACACTTTAGTTTGTTGCCTATGTCCTTAACTAAGTGTCTTCCATATCAAATTTTACACTCCATTTGAGTAATGGATTAGCGAAGAGTCATTTGTGGGCGATCTGTAACTATCAAGCAACTTATCTTTATTTTACTTCTCATAAGGTTTCAAAGTTAAGACCTAGAGTTCTATGGCGCATTATTGTACGTTGTCTTGTAAACGCTTAGGGTCATATGGTATGCTGTCTTGTAAACCCTCTGGGTCATGTGCTTATGGGTGAGCAGCTTTGTGGGAGTATAACTAAGTCACATAAAGTTTTCTTAGTAAAGGTCACATGAATAGAGTTTTGAAATTCTATAAGATAGAGAATTCTAAACATGGCGCTTTATGTAGCCTAATTGAGAATGGAAAGAAATTTTCAATATCCTAGGGACAGTGGGAGCAGCGTGCCTACTAGTGGATTACTCCATTAGAAAAGAATACTCTACATTCTTAGTTGTATGGTAGCGAGTGTGAAAAATTTTCACGTCATCACTGGGTGATTGAGAGAGAAACATTCATGATTGCTCCACAAGATGATAAAGAGCATAGGATAATGCCAAAGGTTCTCTAGTCCCCTGTTTTTAGAAAATGGATCAATGTTGTGCATTTTAAGACAAAGTCATTGAGGATTAACCATTTCTAGGATTTGGTTGACTTTCCGCTATGACGCAAAATTGTTCTAAAGTTATGTGTGATTTGGATAGTCATTTTTTGAGGCATAAAACTCGCTAGATCCTGAAAAGTTGCACCATTGAGGAAGGTGTAGACCATGAGAAGACTTCCTCCTGGGGAGTGAGGTTACTTTAACTTAGGCTATAATTGACATGAGTTTGAAACTTTACTTTGTAGACATTGTGACCCAACTTCTCGTTGGAGAATTGAATAAGTAGATTCGTAGGCATTTACCTTCTGCTTTTATGGCGAAAAGTTAGGAGCGCAAAAAGATTGTTAATTCCAATAACTCTTTTACGGCCTAAAACAGTTATCTAACTAATGGTTCTTAGATTTTGTCGAGCCATGATGGGCCAACAATGATCGATGAAGACTACTAAGACATGATCAATGGTCCAAAAGAAGTTTTTTCTTTCTTAGTCATTATGAGTCAGGAATTTATAAGGTTGTCACCACCTAGGATTGGCAATCCTCTGTTTTAGACATGACGAAAATGGGTGATGTAATTTATATACTCAGATATACGATCCTTAGGGATTATTTTGGGAGAATTCTCAGTTTGTCTTTGATGACTTACATAAGGAATATCCTAGAATGATTCTAGATGCGAAATTGCAAATCCATTGACTTACCTATCGATAAAAGCTAAAGCCTTAGCTATTGAGTGAATCCTTAGATTGTCTCTAGGAGAAATAGATGACCGATATTCCTTGATCTTTTGTTGTGGGAGCCTGAAATACGCTATGTAGGCGTATTCGACATGTAAATGGTTACCTGAGTAGTTTAGACATTGACCTTGCTCATTAAACTGTGGATAGGATGTTTTACTAGTAGCGTATAAATTTGTCCCTTGTAAGATTCAATGCGCTAGTTGGGCGCATCTTGAATGAACGCAAACTAGTCACTAGAATGTCTTTAGAGCGGTAGTTGCACAAGAGGTAGTGGTCTTGAATCACTTCATGTGAGGCGCATATGGTGGATTCCGTTGTATATGCTTATCGCAAGAGGCGCTGATATGGCCTATGTTTGGAATTTAGGATTGCGCAAACTATGGTTGTGTTTTTCAATTGATCGTTTGTTTTTGTGATATTATGGGATATTGAAGCTATTATGGTTTGTGTCATAATGACTAGCAGATGATGATGTTAGCATGCAAGATTGGCTCACTCACACGAGCAATTGCCCTTGGCACTTGGGAGGGAGCAAAGATGAGACTAGTGGTTTATTTTATTTGGAGCCAAAATAGGCTTAAATTATCCACTATGTATGTCGCATTGGTTGCAACCAAGATGAGGTTGTGTTAAAGACCAAACATGGATGTTAGTACCCACTTTTCATGTTGTGTCTATTATGATTAGCCAGATATGAGATCTCATTTGGCACCTGGAAGGCGAGCAAATAGAGAATTCGGGTTAGGTGCTAGAAAGTGACTAGACTAAGATCTGTACGGTGTATCAAGTATAAAGTCACTCTTTGGAAGAGTTACTCCACCATAGCATGTATTCATACTACATGTGCTTGGCAACCGAATAATGAGGTGAGAGAATGGATCCCTGTTTCCTCACCGTGTGAGTCTTACGTGTCATTATTGATATAATTTTCACTTATGTACCCTTTTATGACCTTTGACTATGTCATAAGGCAAGGGGTTGATATTCTGCTACTTTGATATGTTGCCTGCAGTCATGTATGATTCTGTCTTAAGGGACATCACTAGGAAAGCGGTCAACACTAAACTAAATGGCATAAGGGCGAATGGAAGATCATCTAGTATTACACCACTTGTATATTCACTGCCGGCAACTCACATCGTTCTGTATGATAGACAGATTGAATGTGAATATATTGCAATATTTGAGAGGGTCAAACATACTTTTTTGAGGGATTAAAGATGTTTTTGGCCCGGTGTAATTGGATAATTTTGGGGTATATGAGACATTATTTTATTTTATTTTTTCGAGTTGATGTCTCGATGCTAGCTCCTTTTTGAGTTTCTAGTATAAAGCTCACACATGTAGGTGTTCTCAGTGGTTGCACGGTCCATTGGCTGGTATGATCGTGTTTGATGGATAAATTGAGATAAAAGAAGCACAACGTCATGCCAGCACACGTTCGAGTGGGAGATATTTGAAGCTAGGGAGTTTAGAACCCATACCCGATTGGGTTGCCTATGGTGGCATGACCCAAGACCCATAAGGAGAGACCTAGTCAAAGTGGACTTGAGTTAACTTATCCTGGGGATAATTAACCCACTATCTCATCTCTTGAGGAGACAAAATTGGGGGTGGTTGTAACACTCCAATACAATATACGTATTATAGGATGAGAGTTAATTTTAACCGTATCTGATCTATCTCCTGTAGTATTCTCTTTTTCTTTCTCTCTCCATAAAAACACATAATAGCCATTGTACTGTGAATAGAGTGGGTAGTTCTCTAATAGTTCTACTCCATTGCTGGGAATTATTCGAAGACATCAATGGAGACACGTGATTCACCCAAATGATCCATAGATTTGGTTTGAGCGTAAAAAGTATGTCCAAATATGTTTATTTCCGCTGTGTATTATTTTTTATTTTTCCTACAAAGACAAAAAAGAGAGAAGAAATAACACAGAAGTAATGTGGTTCAACCAATCTTGGCCTAAATCCACACACACAAAGCCCTATGGGCTACATATTTTATTCACTCAACTTCATCCTCTTGATTACATGGTACACCATATATATATATATATATATATAGAGGGAGATACAATCAAATCCCTTCAGTTAAGAGAATGAAATAAATTAAAGATACAAAAAATCATGATAACCACAAATCATGGAATCTCCATATATTTTGATATCTTTAACAATATAATCTTATCTTTAACAATTCCATTAATTTAACTGTATATGCACACACAACATACATACATAATATACACAGTAATATATATATATATATATAATTATATACATTGGAGCAATGGAGGATCAGAATGGGAGAGGGAGTCATGGCAGAGGGGATTACGATGAGAGGACTAGGAAGGGGAAAATGAGGTCATAAAGGAGGTCAGAAATGGGAGATGGGGTTAGGGCTAAGGCTAGGGCTAGGAAGGAAAGAGTTGTGACAGGGAGGGCTAGCTGTTAGAGATAGGGTTTGTAGGGTATGGAGAAGAAAACGATGGTGGGAGCAAAAAGTTAATTATTTGAACCCATGGGTAGAAATTGTCATTTTACAACATTATTTGAATTTCATTTAAATGAAAAAACATTCCAACTCTCGAAATTTGCGTGTGTGACAATTTCAATCAATTTGGGCGAAAAATGTAACCATTTCACTTTAGTCCAAAACCATAGGAGAGATATTTGGCTACTTTTAAACCATAAACGGGTAAAGTGCTACGAGGCCAAATCACATGGGGTTAAATTGGATTTTGCCCTAATTTTTACTACACCACCATATTGAGAAATCAAAAAATCAAAACGTATCATTTGGTATACTGAAATGTATCAATATCGAGAAACAAAACAATCAACATGTATGAACCGATATGTATTATATCGTTCAATATTTAAAATCATAGGAAATACAATAAAGCTAGAAAAACCTGATGATTGTTGTTGACTGAAGAAGTCATTGTGCGTCTGAGGGTTGATGCTCGGAGTTCTCACTATGTTGTTGGCACCTGAAGACGTGGGATAATATATTTACTACATTTTTTAATGCTATTTTCATAACAATGATATTACATTGCACAAATAAAAACAAATGCTTTGCTTCGTTTGATTTTTCAAAACTTTTTTCACGGCTGAGGGGATCATGATGAGGGGGCTGGGGAGGGGAGAGGGGGGTTGCAAGGGACGTTGGAAATGGGAGAGGGGATTAGGGCTAGGGCTAGGGCTAGGGCTAGGGAGAGAACAAAGGCGACATGGAGGGGCTGGCTGTTAGGGTTTGTAAGGTATGGAGAAGACGACGACGACTGAGGAAAAAATTTCATTATGCAAACACATGGGTAAAAATGTCATTTTACAACATTATTTCAATTTTATTTATGTGAAAAATCATTGCAACTCTCAAACTTGGCACATGTACGACAATTTCAGCCAATTTGGATGAAAAAGCAACGGTTTCACTTTAGTCCAAAACCATATAGGAGATATTTCGGTATTTCTGAACGATAAGGCAGTAAAGTGCTACAGGACCAAACCACAAGGGGGTAAATTGGATTTTGTGTTGATTTTTATTACCACCATATATGCACTGGAATGTATCAATATTGAGAAATCAAAAAATCCATATGTATCAATTGGTATATTGGAATGTATCAAATCGAGAAGCAAAAAGATCAACATGTATCGACCGATATTAAACATCATTCAATGTTTAAAATCATAGGAAATACAGTGAAGTTAGAAAGACCTGATGACCATTGCTGAATGGAGAGGTTGTCCGTCTGCTGGTTGCTGCTCAGATTTGTCACTACATTGTTGGCACCTGAAGAGGTGAGATAATATATTCACTAACTTTTTTAATGATATTTTTGTAACAATATATTACATAGCCCAAAAAATTACTTCAAATGCAAGTTTTCTGTTTTGTTTGAAAAACTATTTTTAGACGAATTTTCTGCTCTTTAGTGAACTTTTTTCATATTTTGGTTTTTTTTTTTTTTTTTTAATGTTTTAGATGCACCTAATCTAGATGCTTCTAAAAAGTGTTAGAAAAAAAAAAAAAAGGCATAGAATAAAATATGAAAAAAAGTATGCTAAGAATGAACACATGCACCATCTCACTTTAATGTGTAATATTTGGCATTGTTTCTATTTTTGTAACAATAATATTACATAGCCCAAAAAATACTTAAACAACAAAACCTTTAGATGTATAGACTAGATTCATTTTGGATGTGCACCATCCCACTTTTCTAGTCTACATGCATATAATTTTTAGGCCCAATTATAATAATGGTCCCTCTAATTTTTCAAATTAAATCAACTTAGTCCAATTGATAATATTTGTTAAGAAATTGAATAGACATCAAGACCAAAATAGTCTGTTCAAAAAGAAATGGACCATTTCAAATTGGACGCCAACCCCCCAACCACTCTGATGAGAATAAATTGGCTAGTTTACTCTTTCATTTCAGTCTAATTTCTAAATATTGTTATGATTTGACTAAATTGACAAAATGTGACAAAGTCAAAGTAAAATCAATGCAATTAGAGTTACAATGACCAAAATTTATATACCAAGGGCAATGACTGTATTTTGCCCTAATTTTTATTGCTATCAGTGAACTAAAATGTATCAATATTGAGAAATTTAAAAAGTCGATATTTATCAATTGATAAATGTATCAATATCGAGAAATTAAAAGCTGATATGTATAAGCTGATATAAATTATAATACATATCGATCGATATTTAAAATCATAAAAGTAAATACAATGAATCAAAAATGGCCTGTGTCTGCGAATTGCTGCTCCTTATTGCCTCTGAGTGAGATAATATATTCACTATCTCTTCTTATAATATTTTTGCAACAATAATATTACATAGCACAAAAAGGTTACTTAAAAAATGTCAAAAAATAAAATTTTTGAAATGTAAAACCTAAATTTATTTTGGATGTGATTTCATTACACTAAGTTTGAATCTACACCACACACTTTATTTTTTAATAAATTTTTACATTTGTTTTTAGACTCCCTAACTTTTTCCTTTCTGTAACTACTAGACAGTAGACACCGAGTCCACATTTTCATCAAATAATAAATAATATTAGGATATATGAGACCAATGATGGAAAATTAATCAACCACTTTGGAGAAAACAAAATATAATCAAAGCAAAAATTCATCTTAGCATGATATATAGGAAAGGTCCCAGACATTTAAGATCAGTTTAAGGTTGGATTTCTATCGATCATCCTAGGTTTTGTTAATGTGATTAATATTTAATTAAACTAAGACGAGTGTAATGTACCTTGCACAGTTCATGGCTCAAACAATGGTTCAAAGATTGTAGATCAGACCAAGGAAACTAAGACCAAGGCCGCAGCTGCAGCAGCAGCCACAACTGCTAAAGCTGCTAAGTCTGCCAAGATTAGCAACACAAGCAACTGCAGAAGCAATGCTAAGGCTGCAGCTCTATCACAAGGCTGCAGCTCTATAGTGTGTATAGACGTGTGTAGGTTAGGTGTATGTTAGCAAAACTCTTGTAACAAACTCAGTTGGTAAGTCAGATATTTGTTAGATAGATAATTTTGTTAGATTAGTATATATAGATAAACTAATGTATGATCTGGTTATGATTTTCATTCTATGAGAATAATATCTTTTGGCATTCGTCTTCTCTTTCTCTTCAGAACATGTATTATGAAAGATGTACAATTATTTTAACAATATTACTACAATGATTATATTTTTGTATCATGTTTTGCTTAACATCTCATGTGTGTTAATACTGCATTGGTAATAAACATGAGTGATAAAATCCATTAAACTAATACAATGTTGACAAATAAGATGGTAAACCAATTATGATAAGAAAAGATGGTGGAATCCATTAATAAATAAATGCATTTGTGAACCTGTCTCCAGCTGCCGCAAGAATTCCTGAACTGCTTTATTGTTTAGAAAAGCATTCCACATCTTTACATCAGTTACAACAGCCTTGAGCAAATTCTACATACAAAGTGGGCACAATAGATTTAGAGGACATAAATTGATGAAAATAATTTTCATGACAATAGCTGCTTAAAACTTTAAACTCCTTGTCATGTGATTACCTAATTCAAAAGATTAGCAAATAATATTCCTTACGTTCTTTGTGTGTGATTTTATTAAGGGTCTTTTATCCTTTATATTCAAACCCAAATCATACTTTTTTTCAACAATGATGGGCAAGTTGGTCATATAAATGATTCAAAAGGATTCAACAATGATCACTTTGGAACATGTTGTGGTGAGCATGATTTTAAATACTGAATGATATATACCAATACCAGCGATACGAATTGGTTTTTTGGCCTTTAATACCGATAAACTCTGGTGTATCAGTGGGAATAAAAATCGCATGCATATCGATCGGTTCGCAATATGTATCGCTTCATAGCGGATTCAATACCCGATTCAGAGATGATATGTCAGGCCAGTTCACTGCTATGCAGTTCTTTTCACAGAGTATGATTTTTAAATTTTTACAGCTGTGTCAAACATTACCTTGGTTGTGCTATTTAAAACCTTGGTTGTGAGTGTACCTCGTTTCATTAATTGCGACACATCATTGAAAGCATAATGTCTTTTAGGACATGATTCAAGAGTTAATGCAATCCCCAAGTGGGAAATGGCTCTTGTCCAAGTGCAAGAGAAGAACAAATGTTTCAAAACACTAATTATAAGCAGAATAAGGCACCTGAATGGGTTTGGCTCTGCCCAACAATTCAAAAGCATTTTGAAAAGTCATTCCTACAACAGATTGCAGCTTTCCTAGACCATCAACGCTTGAAATCAATGGAAGTGAACCGACTTCTGATCCAGTGTCGGATTGCAAAGTACTGCACGAGGTGTCATATGAAAGATAGGATTAAGATCACATGCATTCATATCCAAACTAGGCAAGGGAACCCAAATCAACTAGTGCAGAACAAAACCACACTCCGAGACATTTATTGTACTCTCTGAATGAATGTATAGAAAGTTGTATATATATATATGTAAAATACGTGAACTATTGAAGAAGATAACAAGTCTAAATCATGAAGCACTAGAGTACAACTAGAAGAAAGCCGAGATCATGTACTGATGTTCTATTCTCTCCATAACTCTTCTATTTCACTCTCTTTGGTATATTGTAATACTTTGTTTCTCTCCCTTTGCTACATTGTAACACTTTGCAGTAAAAAGGCACAATAATGCTATGATGATCGCATTTGTATACCACAAATGGGAAAGTGTTACAAAAAATAAAGAGGTTGGAGGATTGGGAACCAGAAAAATCAGGGAAATGAATTGAATGTCTTTTGATGATATGGTGGAGGAGATTTGGCACACAAAGGAATGCACTTTGGAGGAGAATTATCTGCAGCAAATCAGGCAAGTTGAATAATTCCTGGCTTCCTTATAGCACATCTTCATACAATTCATCCAGGATCAGGAAAGAAATCATTGCAATGGAAGGTTGATGCGGAAAAGATGGCTAGAAAATATATATATATATTACAAAAGGACAGGAAAACCAAATTCATAAGCTAACATTATTATTTGGCAAGATTTTACCCTAGAATTAGCCTAATAATGATGTCTCAAACACCACCCAATTTTCAGCATGTTAGTGTTGAAAATTTAGCCACCAGCCACCAATGAAGTCCAATTTTCAGCATGTTAATGTTGAAAGTTTAGACACCAGCCACGAATAAAGTCCAAGCATATCTTTACTTTGAAAATCTCATTAACGTGTATCTTTTACTTTGAATTTTGTATTTGTCTTCTATTGTATTGAGATGTCTATAAATATGTAAGCTCATAATGTATTGAGGACAACATGAATGAAATAAGAAAGCTTTGCTATATATTTGGATGTGTGATACATCTCTTCTTGGGTGTGATTGCCCTTGAACCTAGGTGTGATTGCCTAGTTTTCTTTGCTTTCTTTACATGCTTTATTTCATTACCTTGGCTGCATTTTTTTTTTTTTTTTTTTTTTTTTATACATTAAATCTAGCCTATTGATTATGTCTCAAAACTCAATTTTGAACTTCTTAAACGTTGCTTTAGAATACCAGACCCTAGCCACAATTTGTCCCCAAACCCCCCATATCATTTAGCCTATTTTCTCTCTATATTTAACCATATTTTGGTGCTGAAGTTTAAAGATCCTGCATCAGTTTGGTATCAGAGCCTATGGTTTTGCCACTATGTTCTTACAAAGTGGAAGATCCTATGTGCCACAGCATTCCCCATGACAAAGAAGTTTCAGATTTTTATGGGACGGAAAATCCTATGATGTTTTCACATTATGGGAGATCCTACCCAAGTAGATTGACTTGGGAAGAGGGTAAAGCGCTTCCTAGAGAAGGAATTTGACTGAGGAATCTGCAGAAGGATTTTCTTGATCAATAGTATGCACTTGAGCAAAGTGCTATTCGTGTGATCGATTATGCAAGAAAATACAAGGAACTATTTATCAAATCTGGAGTGGTAGAAAGTGAACGGATGACTATTGCTTGTTTCAAAAGTGGGTTGAGATCTAGAATTAAAGACGAAATGTCTCACGTATATTTGGAAAATCTTGAAGATGCTATTGAAACTGCCATGCAATTTGAGTCTATCATAAAACTTATGGAGGTATGTACTGTTTTGAAGCATATGCAAAATACAAAGGCTGTCCAACAAGACCAGCGAACAAAAACTTCAAAACAAAGGGTTCAAGTGCCACAAAAAGGTGCTGAAATTCACAAGAAGATGTGCCAAAGCCAAATGTTGTTAGGGATCATAACCCTACACAGTTAAAGTTGCAAGACAAGGAGAACAATCAAAATCTGCACGCGATGAAAGATGGCCAGATTTCGAAGAATGAAACGGCAGTTATTATTGATTCAGAAGAAATCTATCAATCTCCTGTAATTGTTGTTGAAGAGGCTCAAGAACAAAGCAATGAATCCAATATTTCATGTATTGCAGTAGCCGTGATTGCAGAGTCGGAGAAGCAAGTTGATTTGTTTTCAAATAAGAAAAAGCTACCGGTTGAGTCTAATTTAGAGTCAGGAGAGTTGTTCCTGGAGCCTACAGTTACGTCTGTTGTCCAAATAGAAGACTCGGAGGCCACACAAGCTATAGGGACTAAAGAATTACAGCAACCAGCTGCTGATATTGATCCTAATATGGCTTTACAGGTCAAAAATTTGCTACCTAAATTCTCTACGACAGGTTCTGAAATTTTCCAAAGGGATGGTAATGTTGAACTGCATGATGAAGCATTGGTTGAAAAGGAGAATGAAAGTTTGGGATCCACAATTAATGATTTGGGTGAAAATATTGATTACAAACACTGCCATGTGGAGCCAAATGGGAACATAATGCACATAATGAATCTTAAAGCCCCAGATTTGGATCAGTTCAAGAATGTTTCAACTCCTTATATTGAATTTGTCATTCCATACATATTTAGTATCATGAAGGACAAGATCAATTTCTCAACATTTTTATTCCTATCTCCAACAAAGAAAAAATGGTGGCAACTTAAGGGTTTTAACACAAAGTCGTGGATGCAATCTCAAAACTTGTGGATTCTAATACTCCAACACTTTAAAACTCGAGGATGAGTTTTCTCCAACGAAGGGAGAATGATACAAAAAAGATGGCTAGAAAATATGAAAATATATATATATATATTACAAAAGGAGAGGGAAACCAAATTCAAAAGCTA